GCCAAAACAGTAGATCTATATGAGTCAAAGTGAAATGATTCTTCTCTCTTTAGAGGTCTCCCAGAGCAAACGGCAGAATTACTAATTGTATATCACAGAGACTTCCCTTGGAGAGTTAGCTATGAGTAAAGTCTTAGAATTTCTCCTAAACTGGCTGCTGGTGAACTTACAATTAACTGAATCTGACTGGAAATATGATAAAAGGAATATCTCCTTCAGGGAAGATGAGGAGAGTTAGAGGTTAGGGGAAAAGGGAAAAATCAATGGTCAGAAGAGTCTTGAAGTCCTTTCATTAAGTCCCCTTTGCATCCCTAGTCCAGATACCAGATCCTGTCCAGTCAACTCTGATTCATTGGACTGAGTCCAATAACTCAAAAGGGATAGATGTGGGATGTGCCCAGGGAACAAATACCAAGAGGATCAAGGGTTAAACACAAGGCACTGAACAATAAGTCAAACATAATTGTATATCATAAAACTTCTATAGAAAAAAAAAGAAATTAGAAATAAGGTTGATGTCTGGGATGGGGAATTGACGGCAAGGAATATGAACTTGGGGGAAAATATGGTTAATCCATGTTCTTAATTTTTTTATTAAAATAAAATTAGTTGGAGAGAGACAAATATGTAGTTGGATGTATGGGTAGATGAATAGGTAAGTGGATGGGTGGATGGATGGTGGATAGATGAGTGGGTGGATGAGTGGATGGATAAGTGGATGGATGGATGGATGGGTGAGAGGAGGGATGGGTGGATGGGTGGATGATGGATGGATGTACGGATGGATGGCTGGGTGGATGGATGGATGATGGATGGATGGATGGATGGATGGTGGATGGAAGGATGATGGATGGATGGATGGATGGATGGATGGATGGATGGATGGGTGGTGGGATGGGTAGAGGGAAGGAGGAAGGGAGGAATGGAAGGATGGGAGGAGGGATGGATGGATGGGTGGGTGGAGGGATGGGAGGATGGACAGGAGGAAGGTAGGAGGAGGGATGGGTAGAGGAAGGGAGGGATGGATGAATAGAGGGATGGATGGGGAGATGGATGGGTGGGTGGGTGGAGGGATGGGTGGAAAGAGACTGACAGCTTTCAAAGAAGGTCTGGCTCAGATAAGTTACAAAATACCCCCAAGCTCAGGAGTGTAAAGCATTTGGCACCAAGACCATAAATAGGAAAATATCTCATAAATGCTTTTCCCAGCTCTCACTGCTGCGGCTGCTGTTCGAAGAGGCTGAACTTTCTCTCCCACAGCGCAGCTTTTTCTCTTGCTGAACCAATTACAGGACATTATAACAGCAGCACCAATATTATTTTTTAAAGGCTGATGTTATTCACTAAATACCCATTAAGCCAATCTTCTTGCTCCATTTACAGCAAGCTGAAGGGCAAATCCAGATGGTACAAATCATGTCTATTCAGGCTCCATCTGCAGGAAGCCAGTCATCAGATAGTCATTATCAGTTTTAGAGTTCTCCATTGCCTGACACCCACAGGTGCGGCCAGGTGAGCAGATGAGTGACCCTTCGAGAGGTGGCTAGGCTCTCAGTCTTGGAAAACCATCTTCACGCTCCCCTAAAGGCTGCATTTGCCTTTATAGCTGAACAGTTAGCTACGCTAAGGAGAGCTGCTTGGTAACCTAGTAACAGGCTGTGCCGAGGTTCTTAAGCTAGGGACAGGATTGCATCTTCCTCCCACACAGGCCCTGTTTACCAGTTAACCCTGGGCTGGCCAAGGCGATCCAGCAGTTCTCCTACAGAGCCAACCCCTAGGGTCCCATGCCTCCATGGCCCCACTGGAAAAGGTTGACCCAAGGGGTCATCATTTTTTAACTTTTCTTGCCTGACAGAAACAAAACATTGCCTGTAGCCTTGAGCATAAAATGCAGACTAGAATACTATCTGGCCAACTGTTTCATCCAAGGAAAGGGTCAGAATCAGGAATATAAAGTCTTTGAAGGGGTATACAAGGGCCTTAACACAGTATTGGAGTCTCCCCTGGGTGGTGGTGCCAACTTGTTAATATACTTGGCTATTTATCAAAAGACTGGAGGGTCAAGTCCACCCAGAAGTCCGTAGGATGAAAGCCCCAGTGATTTACTTCTAAACAATCATCTACGGAAAACCCTACGGACCATAGTTCTGCTCTGACACACATGGGTGGCCATGACTCACAATCAACTTTAAGGCCATTTGTTGTTGTTGTTAAGTGTCTTCGAGTTAGTTCTGACTCATAGCTACCCCGTCTAGGGTTTCCAAGGAGCAGCTAATGGGTTTGAACTGCTGAACTTGTGGTTCACAATCCAGTGCTGATCCTACAGTGTCACATTAGGAGTCCTGAAGGCAACTGGTTTTAGGACAATATTGATGGTGGCCATGACAACAAAGTCTGCAGCTCAGCATTCATAGACCAGGTATGGAAAGTAGCAAGTTTCCTGAAAGCGCAATGTTCCACCCTGGTCCCCAGAAACAGCCCTTACCGGTGCATCGACAGAAAGAAAGCAGACAATAACACCTACACTATTTCCATTGGAGTTGTTGTTGATGGTAAGTGCCACGGAGTTAGTTCCAACTCATAGTGACCTTGTATAGTTTCCAAGTACCAGATGGTAGGTTTGAACCATCAACCTTGCAGTTAGTAGTCCAGTGTTCATCCTACAGCATCACTTCAGGACTCTTTCATTGGAGTAGGATAACCAGGAAATAAAAAATCATCCAACACAAGCTCAAGTAATAGAGGACTGTCAGGATACAAGAACCCTGGTAGTGTAGTGGATTCAGAGCTGGACTGCTAACCGTAAGGACAGCAGTTCGAATCTACCAGCCGTTCTGCAGGAGAAAGATGAGGCTTTCTGCTCCCATAAAGATTTACAGCCTCAGAAACCCTATACAGGGTTAATATGAGTCTGAA